GTTGGGATATGTTTAAAAAGGTTTATTAAAGAGTTTATTAAATAGGCTATTGATATTGTTATTATATTATTGTTAAATTTTATAGATTAATTATTTTTATTTCGAAATTTATCAAGAGTTTTTTAAATCTAAAAATTTTATAGTTACTTTGTTTTGTTGCGATAAAAGACTTTTTTGATTTTTATTGTTAGTAAAGTTAAAGAATTGTTCTTATTATTTACTTGTATATTATCAAATGAAAAATAACTTTGTTATTAATTAATAAATTTGTTGTTTTTAATATTATTTTTAATCGATTTAAATAATTGATGTTGCGATAAATAAATTTAGATTTATAAATTATTATATTTAAAAACTATTAATTATTATAATTTAACCATTTATGTAACTAAAATCGTATTTTTGAAAAACTGGTTAAAAATAGTTTATTTACAATTATAAAATAGTTAAAAACGATGACTTATATTTTTCTTATTGTCAACTTAAATTGCATGACACCCATAGAATGATCATGAATTGATTCATTTGACACGAAGTATCGAATCCGTGGTTGTCGTTGTGTATTTCTTTTGAACTTTCAAGTGTTGAGTGGTTTTTATTACTTTTCAGACCCACCATTCAAATCAATTTTTGAAACAAGTTATAGTATAAATTATAATAAATTTATTAATGTTTTTAGTTATTTTGTTCTTCTTTATATAAGTATGTGCTTAAATCCCAAAATGTTACATATATTTAATGTAATAAAATGAACAAGATAGTCCATCAAATAGTAAGAAAGTTGTTGATTATCATTTTTATAATTAGTGGATAAAGGTATAAAAACACATTTAAAATAAATAACACATCATCTTTCACTTTGGCACCATGTTTTCTTAATAACGTATTGGGTTGATATCAGTCATTGTCTCCATGATGTTTTCAACAATTTTTATTGAAATGCACTTTTGGGCAAGCATTTTGGCTGGCGGGAAAACCCGCTTCACTACCATTTACTTGTTTTATTGTATAGAAAAATAACGTTTTTTGGCATTTTGCCGATTTTTAAAATAAAAAATAATTCGGTGGCGAAAAAACCTCTTTAAATCTTTTTGTCTTTTCGTAACCAAATTTTTATTGTTTTATGATAAAAACTTATCCAATAACCAAATAATGCCTTTTTTAAATGTGAAAAAATAGTGTGTTTTTTCTCGGCATACAAATATTTTTTAACCAAATGTATTGAATAACATACAAAAACACACAATAAACTTGAATTTATTCACCATACAGAAATGATTGCCGCACTTTCTGATCGTCCACAGTATCCTCCCAGTCTTTTTTAACATTTTTCTTCACGGCGGGAAACCCCGCTTTACAACCATTTAGTGATAAAATTACACACAATTATAACCAAAGTTTCAATTTGCCTCAAATAATTGAGGTTTTGGTGAAAAAAATGCAAAAAACACGAGAAATTCAAACGGACATGTGCAGCGCCCTTTTACCGCTTCTGATAATTTACACAAAATTATTCGTCTTACATTGTTTTTATTGACCAATATTAATAAATTGCTTCGTTTATTTTATAAAAAGTTTCAAAAAAGCAAGTACAGCAAAATAACGAGTCATTTATCGCTTGCTTGACAGGCACTTGAAAACCCTCTGGGAATGGATGCACTCACGTTCAGTTGGTGAGTAAGTCCAAAATGCGTTTTTTCAGTTTGGCAGTGAAATGCATTTCTGAACGAATGAGGAATCCAACAAGAGGGGGTGTTAAATAAAGGTGCAGTCTGTCTTTGCTGAGAGACATTGAAAAGTGGTGTATTAGAAACGTGTGCTAGGTTATATATTTACTGTGTTGCTCGAGGTGTAATCGATTTGACTGTTGAGTATTTGTTTAATGGACGATTAAAAAATGAAAAAAAATATTAAGGAGCGAAAGGGGGTGTGAAAAAAAGTACACTCGCGGGTTAGTGTTTTTGAGTTTTTTATTTCTGCAAAAAATTGAAAAAATATTTAATAAAAAGTTCATTATTTTTTCACTTAATTATATTAATTTTAAGATGTTTGTTTTTGGTTATTTTGACCTCAAAGAACAGTTTCTAAGCATGGTTAATCAATTTTCTGCTTTATGCCAAAACTTTTTAGGCCTTTTTTCACCTAAGCCTTAATCCTAATACGTGTCGCTGACTGTGGGCGATTTCTATATTTAAAAAATAGCAGTTTTCGGTTTTAGGGTTTCTAATATAAGGATTGTTAAGTTAGATACTTTTATACCTAACAAATGGGCTATATTTACCACAAACATCCCGATTATTTTAAAAAACATAATGTATTTTTAATAGAGAAACAATAAAAATAACAGCACTTACAAACGCGTCGTTTCAGGTGAAATAAAATGGTATAATAATAACAATAATATAGTATAACAGTCTTTATTTGGATTAGTTAAATAATTAGTATTTTTACTATTTAGATTGAGAAAATTATAGGTTGTGACATGGAATAAATATAATATTAAATATAGTTTTTGAATAATTTTGATTAATAGTATAATTAATTATAATTTACAATAAATTTTGAAAATATAACAATTATAATAATAAATAAATAAATTAACTATATTACATAATAATATTGTTTTATAATTAATATGGTTATAAATAAAAAATGTTAATATTATAATTAATAAATCCATATATTTATTATTATTGTATTATATAAAATATAGTTTGTAAGTTATCTTTAGTTCAGTCAGCTAACAGGGTATATCGTTAACTATCCATATGGTATTTAGATTACTTTTCAAATTAATTTCACAAATTACTTTACCTTCTTTGTCACATTTGATTCATTGTTTATATTATGTATTCATTTATTAACATTGTATCATCTAATTTGAAAATGAACATTTATTTTATATCACATATTTTATAATTATTATTTAAATTTATATATAATGTTATTTTATATACAAACTATAATAAACAAAAGAGTTAACCAAACCCACCTTAAGAACAATCAATTACATTAACTATTTGTTTTATTTCTTTTGCATGAAATTACTATTAACATTTGTTATTATGGGTTTTTATGTTTATATTAATTCATTATACTAATAACATGTAACACTTAATTAAATAATTATATTAACCATTTACTATTATATTTTACTAAAAATAATAACTATTAATATAATTAATATTAAACTTTAATTAATAATAATTAGTTATTATATATGATAATTTTTATTCGAATAGAATAATTACATTTAAATATTTAAAAATCAAAAAAATAAACAATCAATATAAACAATGTAATGAGTTATTTGAATATGTTTACGATTAAATTTTATAGTGACACATTCTTTTTATTACAATGTTGTATGTTATACATTCTAAAAAGTAATTAACACAAGAAGGTTTTAGACTATTTTCATTTATCAATCAATCTTTTCAATCATAGAAAGTTTGTTTAAACTTGACTATCCTTTAAATCGTTTATATTATTGGTTTTTGAGAACAATAATCAATTTGTTTAATAAACAGAATAATATTCACTCATATAAGTAATAAAATTTAAAACACACAAATAGATACATTTAAACAATTGCACATAAATCCATTAATCTGTTTTTGTGGCAATAATTATAGCTTCATATTGTATTGTTTTAGTTGATTGTGTTCAATTGTTTGTTCTTTTTGTATTGTCATTATTATTTGTATTATTAAACACCAAAAGGCACAACACATATACTCGTTGCTGATGCCTCAAAAAGACTGGATTGAAATTCAATAATGAGGTCATTGAATGGTGTAAATACCACAAACTACGTGTACAAAACAAATTTAATTCGTTTATGACTTCGTATCACATTTTTAACAAAAGTTTGAGATTGTAAACATTTGAAAAGTTTCCGAAAAAATCTTAGGAAAAACTACATTTTACTCTAAAACGAACTTTAAACACCTAATATTAATCAACATATTGATTTTTGAAGAATTCTATATGGTCAAAATGTAAATAATAACCAAAACAAGATTAATAAATTAAAAACCCACTTTTTGATTTCCTTGACATCAAACAGAGCATTTATTGATTTGTCGTTCATGTTGCTTTTGTTTTAAACAAAGTGAATGTATTATATGTCGCATTTGGTTGTTTTTTGCAATTTAATTGTTAGTACTTTATACTTGTTTAAGAAAAGCTAGATTATTTAATTTTATTTGTTTATTAAAAAAATATTTAATTAAACATATTTTTTATTTTAATTTAATATAAAAATATTAATTATTTTTTATAAATATATATATTAATAAATAAATATAATTAATATTTAAAATAATAATATAAATTATTATCGATTTTTCATCAAACAAGAAAAATAATAGTTTAAATTTTAATGTTTTAAACTATACATTATTAGTAATAAAATAATATTTGTTTTTAATATTTTTATTAATAAAATTAACAATTGTTTATTTTTTGATTTTTGGACTCAATAAACAAACACTAGGGTTAATAATCTTACCGAAATTATTCAAAAAAAGAGTTTTTTGAATGATTAATTATTGTTTTTATTGAATAAAAGAATTTTTATGAAATAGTTAAATTATTTAAAAGAAGTAATAATTATTTTTGGAGATAAAAACCCATTATATTACGTTTATCATATTTCAATTATCTGCTGAATTACAACTATATTAGGCAAATATTAATATTTTTCTTCAACAATTGGATTTCAAATGGTTTTGCTTCTTTTGTGTTCTTAAAAAATGTTTGTTGCAAAAACTACAAAAAACAATATAATTTTGGTCAAAAAATCAGATTAATCCAAAAATAAGCTGCAATTTTGGGACTGGACGATTTAGTAAACAGGCTTTTGATTAACCATGTTCGAAGTCAATCTTTGTTGCTCTTCCTTTTATCATTCGGCAAATCCAGCCTTTATCTTTTAAATAAAATAATTCTCAAATTTCAATAACAAACATCGGCATCTTGAAAAAGTCAGAAAGATTCTTGTAAACCTTGTTTTTTGAATCAAATCGAAGAAAAGGAAGAAAAATAAACTATACAAAAAACTATAATCATATTATCATTTTACTATTAAATTATCAAAGGCGGTTTTTTCCTAAAGCGGTTTTTTCCACCCCTTTAATACATTATTTGAATGTTTAAACCATGGGTCGGCACAATTCTGGTAATAGTATATAAATTAGGTAGATTTAGGGGGCACTCCATTTTATCTATATTTTAATTAAATAGCGAGAAAACTGAATTTTCACAAAATATCGACATCTTTGATATCTCTAGAATCTCACATTCATTTAGGAACCTTTGGTCCGTTCGGTTTAAATTTATATTTAGTAAATTTATATTAATGTAATTTTTATCTTCCTTAAAATGACGGAAGAGTATATGAATGAAGTGTTTAAAAAGTATATCGAGCTTTGTCCTTTACGGTTATTATATAATTTAAATACAGATGAAGATATAGATGAATTTATAGATGATTCTGAAATTATAAGTGAAAATGTAAATGATTATGTTTATTATAATGAAGAAGATAATAAAGTTGTAGCTAACTTAGAATGTGATTGTTCTAAATTTAAAACAAGAATTAATAAATTTAAAGAAGTCTTTAATGAGTTTATTAGAAATAAAAATATAAAAAATTTAATTGTAAAATATTATGTTAGTCCTAATGTTATTTTAAAAGGTTATGAAATATTGACGTGTTTAAAAAATAAAGATAATTATCAAAATTTCAAAACTTTATGGATCATGGTTATTGTAAAGGAAAAGATGGTAGAATTTTCAATGTAATGAAATTACATTGATGATAATTTAATAGATATTTCATAAACTGTAAAAACAAAGTTATATATTTTTTATCTTATCTGAAGATATCTATTTAGTATGTTATTTTTATAGTTATTATAATAATGCTGTTATATTACTTTATTAATAATATATTTAGTAATGAATAAATAATATATTTTTATTTTTATCTTAATATAAATAAGTACAGATAACGACGAAGTAGGAACATGTAGTGGCGTCTCAGACGCAGCAAAGCAAAATACTTCTCAATCAAAAACAAAGTCATTAATAATAATAATATAAATTATAAGTAAAATTTAAACATAAAAAACTAAAACAAATAAATTGTTTAAATATAATAATAATTATTTATTAACCCTTCGAGGACTGAAAATTTTTTATTTTTTTATTTTTTTTTCAGAAAAAAATTTCAAAAAATAATTTCACTTTTCCAAAAAATGAAAATAATGGCGACTTTTCATGAACAATTTAGAACGCTTTTTGACTTTTTCTATAAAATAGTTCAACTCAAATTCAAACTTTTGAATTATTTATAAAACATTTCATCATTCATTAACTCAAATTAATTGGTTTTTGTTAAAGATTTGTCCTTCAATCAATAAAATATATAATTTAACAAATTAATATTAGTAATATAAATAATACGAAAATGAACTGTTTTTGTAAACAAATAAAAATGGTAATAAAAATTGATTAAATCATATTATCAAATATTTAAGTTTTTTAAAAAACAATATAAAAAACACTTAAAAAGTGTGCAAATTAGTGGGTTTGATATAACCAATAAGATTGGTTCAAACCGAAATAAAATAAAAACACAACAAAAATATTGTTGTTGAAATAAAAAATGGATTCCACTCAAACTAAAAATACTTAGAGAACCAAATAACATCAAAATATTACGATAAAAACCCAATGCTTACTATTAATTTTGTTTGTTATTCATCTAACACAACAATAACATTAAATTAATTATCTTATATGGTAAAACAACACAATAAAACATCAATTTAAGTCGAGAAAAAATAGCGGTTTTGGATACATTATACAATGCGTGACAAAAGAATAATAAATTGTATAGTAATATTAATTATAAATAAACTATAATATATCACTTGTGAATAATAAAAACGATAGTAAATTTATTATATATTTTATGATAGATTATAACAATAATAATATTAAAATCAAACCAAATAAACACCTACACAAATATAATTAAATTGAGCCAAGAATGAACAGCCTTGATTATGCCATTTCATTTCTCATATGCAACTTTCTCCTTCTCATGTCTGTAGTTAATGCCTGGGTACATTAAATTCAATCATAGGAGATGATGCTTAAAATAACTGGTTTCTGATATCGACATCGCATTTCATGATTGAGTTGTAAATTGTCTCGTGGATACCTGATGCTTCCATACCAAGGAATGATGGCTAGTGGTGTGCTTCTGGACATCTGAATCTCTTGTTGCCAATTGTGATGAATTGACCATTTGGAAGTTAATGTGACTTCTCGAGTTCTGATGATGAGGCAGCCTTTGTATTTCTTCGTCGAAGTCAAGAGCGACATGGCAGAGCTTCTCATTGATGTCTCTGACAATTTCTCTTTCAGCAGTTGTAATGAAAGCATAACATCTCTCAGTCAAGATCTTCATGAGGTAGTCAGTGAGATCACGACCAGCAAGATCAATTCTGAGGAGTTTGGGAGTGAGAAACCTCATTAGATTGGGATGGAGGGAAGAGTGCTTTTGGTCATCTGAATCTCTCGTTTCCAATGGTGATAACTTCCCTGTTTGAAAATTTGTTTTATTTTTCGAGTTCTGATGATGAGGCAGATTTTTGCATTTTTTCGTCAAATCAAATGCAAGGCGGCAAAGTTATTTATAGTAATAAGTAATTACTTATTTTTGAATTTTTATTCCAAATATAACAAGAAATTTGTGTGTTATTTCACACAATTATTTAATGTTGATTTACGATATTTATTCGAATTTCAAATGTTTTTTCGGGATATAAGGATTAAAAAATGATAATTTTTGATTATAAATTGGTTTTGCACATTTTCGGTTTTAAAATAGTGCAATTTTAAACTATAAATCTATTTATAACAAATCTTGAAATAACCAACTCAATTATCGTGTTTATTCAAATTTATGTCAAGTATATTCTTTGTTTTATCACAAACTTTTTTGTTTGTGGAAAGTGATGTTGTTTTATGTAAGATTTAATTAGTACTTTTAATTAATTTAAACCATTTTATTGTTTAGCAATCTTCAAATAAAAACGCTAAAATGTTCTTTGCATTTTATTTGTTAAAATAGTATTCATTAATTAAAAATAACTATAAATGTTAATTTGCTAAGATCGTTGCAAAAAATGTTGTTGTTAATGCTAATGGTTTTTTTCTGTTTGTTTTTTGAATACAATTTGCAAAACTAATAGTTTTTTACAATAAAAGACTTTTTATAAAACAAAAAAATGGAACATGAACATGTTAAAGATTTAAAGCAAAAATGAAATTTATAAAACTAAAATGCATAATAACAAAACAAATATTTTTTTGTTCGATTTTTTGGCTTTGATTTTTTGGTTGTTATGGCAGATCTTTTAAATAAAATTTCAGTTGACGAGTTTTTGTAGATCGCGATTAGTTGTAAAAATAAAACAATTAAAGCAAAGTATTTTTTTTGTGTTAAAAAACGGGCAAACAGCAATTATTTTGTCAACTGTTGCGCACCCTAATTATAACATAAGTATGTCAGATTTTTAATATAATTTATAATTATATAATAGTTTTCTAAAAACTTAATTTTTTTATTTAAGTAATTATTATAGTTTAAAATAATAAACTGAAATTTCAATTCGATTTAAATTAAAAATGTTATTATTATTAATAAATTAATAAAAGTTTAAAATTTATAATATATAGTTTGTTTGGTTATGAATATTTTATTTTTAAATCTATATTTTTACCAAAAAGTTATTTTTACTGTCATCTATTTTGAGAAGATTTTTATTGTTATGTAATAACCCGAATTTATAAATAAGTTATTTTTTCTTTTTTTGCCATACAGCAATTTTGCCGAAAAAAAATGATATTTCAGTCTTTTTTTCTTGAAAGGGAATTTTTGCCGAACCATGAACAGAGGACTTGCTTCACCTTGTGTGAAAATATAAGTTTGTGGTGCGTCTATTTATTTTTGTGAATGAAATATAAAAATTACAATATTGAAATTATTTGTGATGGTATTAATAATTTTTTTTTGCATGGTCTATTCATTAATTATGCTGGACTTATAATTGTAGGTGGTGTTTAATTAAAATATGTGACGAAATAATTAAAATTTTGACTAAATAATTAATAAACTGACTTAATAATTATTGAAAATGGTGGGAATTGAAAACTTAGTGAATAACAATCTTTATGTTTTATTAATTTAAAATTATTTAAATAATAAAATTATTCAATTAAATTATATTTTACTTTGTTTTATTAATTAAAACAAATTTTTATAATATTTTTAGTTTTAAAATAAATAACAAAATAACATTATATATTTTACTATTATTATTAGTTTTGTTAATCAATAGTTATAGTATAAATATAATTATTCTAATGATAATAAACTATTACATAAAAAAAATCCACTTTCATTGCGCTGAAAGTGAAGAATTTGGGATGCAACGAAAATCAATTTATCGACACAATCAGTGACACTTACAAACAGTGTGAGAGGGATATGACAAGTTACGACCAAGTGCTCGGCAGATGTTTTTATACTAAATGTGATGAAAGAAAGTATGTTGAAAAAGGAAAGTATGTTACTTGTGAAGAACAATATGAATTGCCATGCCTCTCAGAAGAATGTAAGGTCTGCACGGCGGTTTCTATAAGTGTAAACATTGTAACAGAGATATTTTTTGTTCTCGTGATGTTGTTATTATTGATTATGCTTTACAATTAATAATTAATTAATTAATAGAAGTTTAATAATTTTTAATAATATTATAATAATTATATTATTTATTATAATATTTAAATATTATATATTATAATAAATAATATTATAATTATAATAAACACAAAACCCAGTAATTTAGACTTAAAACGAATCAAGAAGCGTCTGGAGTTGTTCTGCTACTTTTTCAATATTAATTCTCTTATCAGCTTTATTTTCCCACATCTTTGAAATAATGTTGTAAGCGTCTTGGTTCATATTATCAAGGCATTCCAGTCTTTTTCCACTTGTTACAAAGTCTGCGATACTCCAAGCAAAATTGAACCTTTGTTTTGGGAATGCTTCACCCCATATAAGTGCTTCATAAAACGTGACTCCTAAAGAATACACATCAGACGACATCTTATAGTGTTGTTTGTTCAAGACTTCAGGAGCCATATACTTAGGAGTACCGATACCTTTTGTGAAAGTCATGTTAGTCATCATTTGATTGACGTTTCTAGATGACCCGAAATCTGTCAATTTGCCATTAGCCTTGATGTTCTCTTCCAACGTGATAACAAGAATATTATCTGGTTTGATGTCTCTGTGTAAGATGCCATTTTCGTGTAAATATTTGATGCCATAAGTAGCATCTAAGATGATCTTCACCTTCATCTTGTCTGCTATTTGTTTCTCTTTATTAAACATATCAGCCAAACTTCCATGTTCCGCAAATTCAGTGACCATACACACATGACTTGGTATGTAACACGCTCCATAGAAGTGGATGATGTAATCACTTCTAAATTTGTCCAACATGGCAACTTCCTTTGTAAACTCCTCTATTGCACTCTTTGTCGCTTGTGCATTCTTCATCTTCTTGATCGCCACTGTCTTTTCGTGGTATTTTCCTTTGTAAACGATACCAAAAGAGCCTTCACCAAGCTTCTTCTCATCGATCAACTCATGATAATCCAATTTTGTGGAGTTCGCAGTGGACGTCTCGACTTTGATCTTCTCGTTATATTGTACACCAGTTTCTATGTCAAGTGCAATGACCATAATGTCTTCTTTTAAATGACATGAACACAACGGCTTGATGAATATCTCAAATTCACAAGCTTCTCCTCTTTTTAAAGTAATTAAAGTAGGCACCGTTCGTATTTCATAGTGGTCACACCCTTCTAATACACTAAATTGGACTTTCATGTTGTGTTTTGTGGTGTTTCCAATACATATTAAGTCGCGGGTCTCTGAATCTACTGGAATAGCAGAGTCATCCTCTAAATTGAATTTAATCAACTTCTTATTTGAAGATAGAACTGAATTGATTTGAACCATTTCAATGTTCGATCGCTTCATTTCAAAGACACAGATGTTTTTCATTTTCTTCTTCTCTTTTCGACTTAATATGAGGAGGTAGACAACTACTAATATCAATGCGATAATGATTATGAAGAAGATAAAGATGGCTACAGGTATACCAATAACTATTCCATAATTCGTCTTAGAAACACAACTCTCACCATCATCTGTAACTTTGTTACTCCCTTCACATGAAGTACACTTCGAGTTGTCTGCTGATGTACAATGTGATACCGTGCGATAATCGACACAACTTCCTTTCACTAAAACTTCATCGACTCCACAGGATAAACACTCTTCACTATTTACACAGGTCGCACAACTCTCTTTGCATGAGAAACAACGTCCATTTTGTAAATAATAAGACTCATTACAAAGTAAACACCCCACGAGATTTGATTGTAAACAGTTTGAGAGTGTTGTGTTTGATGAACATAATTTGTTTGATTCACTTTGAATTTTGAAGTACCCATCTTTACATGACAAACACTCATCTTTCTTCAAACACATATCACACGACTCGTCACATGCATCACAATCTTTCTCGACTTTGTAATACCCAACTTTGCAAATAGCACATCCGCCACCAGCGGGTAATGTCACTTCACACTTTTTGGCCAATCCACCAAGTGTTTGGCATTTCATAGACAAGTCAAGAAAGTACCCACTGTTACATGTGGTGCAATATGTTGCATTGTAGCAACTCAGACAGTCATTCAAACACTTCTCACAACTGTTTTTGTTCAGGTAATACCCATTTGGACATCGCTGGCATCCTTTGTTGTTTCGTGTCAAACAGTCGACTTCTTCTTGTGTTTTCAGTGCACTTTTCATGTTGTACACTGACGTCTTTGTTTCGTTGACTTTATTGAGATCATCAAATTGTTCAGCACACACACCATCTTTCATGTTGAATGCGTCTTGGCACTCAATGCATTTTGTGGTGTTGAGTGAGTAGTATTTGCAGTGCAACTCAACATCCGCTTTTGTGCAGAAGTCGTACTTGCCTTCAATGTTCTTTGTGTCAACTTGGTAATACCCAGCCTCACATTGCGCACACCCACTCTGACTTGTGCGTTTACAGTTGACTTGTTCCTTGTTTACACACCGATTAGTGCTGTACATCAAGTAATTCACTTTGCATATTTGACACGTTCCTCCAACACAGATATCACAGTTTTCAGTCTCGCATTTCGAACACTTTCCTTTGCTAATTTCCATGTCATTTTCTTTGCATTGCACACACAGCCCATCGACAACCGAGTTGCATTGTGTATCGGTAGTGCACGCCATCTGTTGTACATCAAGTATTGTTGAATCGCCACATGTCAAATATTTGTTTTGAGTTGAACAAACTGCATTTGATACACCACAACTGTCACACGTGTTTTGTTTTGTCAAATACGTTCCTGCTTTACAACCAAAAGCAACTCCATTTCTCACCAACCCATACACACTCTGTTGTTCACACACACCACCGTTGTTCAGAATATTATCATCATCACATGTAATACACGTCGAAATGCCCTTCTCTGATTTCTGGTATTTACAGCGATCCATTTTAGCTGTACATTTTGAGTTGATTGATATTTGGTCTGAACAGTCACACGAAGTTAAAGTCAGTGATTCACAACTACCAGATGAAACACATTGTGAGTTGGAAACAAAGAAAGTGTCACTGCAGTCCAGACAACTTTCTTTGTTTTGTAATATGTCACAGTTAATATTGTTCTTAACACAACTTGGGGTGCCTGTTGTGTTGTCATAATATTTATTTGGTTGGCACAATTCACATTTTGTGTCATTCAAAACGTAAGGGGAAATGCACAAGTTACATCTTGCTTTGCCAACAGCGATTGTATCACATGTGTTGCAATTGTCGATTGTGTTGTAACACTTTGAGCATGTTGTTTCGCTGAACTTGTATTCGCCAATTGGACAGCTTTCACAACCACCACTCTTCTGGATAAACGGATCTTTGCATGTCAAACACTTCTTTGCATCGGATGAACATGCGTTGCAATTTGGTATCGTAAAACATGCAACACATTTGCCAGATGTTTCATCGGGATAGAACCCAATTGCACACACTTTGCACTTCCTTGAAAAGTTTGGTGAACAGGTGATGCAATTTGTGTCAAATGAATTGCAGGCAACACACACTTTGCCTGGTGGATCAGTGAAGACGTTGTTTGTAATACAGCTTGTGCAGACACCAGTTGACGTGTTGCATTGCCCATTGCATGTTGCGTCACACAGAGTGCATATCCCGTTTGTGTTTGGATACATCCCACTATCACACATTGCACTCTCTCTTATCACTAACACATTTTGCAAGGTTAGGGTCAAAAGTTCTGCACATGACACATTTATTGGTGATTGGTGATGTTGGCACAGATCCACTTGTGCACCCAGCACATACTCCTGTTGTTGTATCGCACTTTCCACCACATGTTGCATCACAGCTCTGGCACATGTAGTCATCAAATGTCTTTGGGTAATACCCCGTGTTGCATTGTTTGCACTTCCTAGTTGAGTCTGATGCGCATGTGATGCAATTGGCGTCAAATGTCGAACAGCTCTCACATTGGTCAGTCTTTGTGCTTTGAAACACGTAATTTGTATCACACTGGTTGCAAATCCCACTCGTTGGGTCACACGCACCAGATGCACAGTGCAACCCACACCCAACACACTTCCCACTTGTTGTGTTTGGACGAAGACCGCTTTTACATGTTGTACAAACACGACTTGAGTCAACAGAACACGTCACGCAATTCGAATCAAAAGTGGAACACATTTCGCATTGTATCGACATTGGTTCTGTAACAACCCAATTTGCTGTTGAACACTTTTTACAGTTACCATTTGTAGTGTCACAATCGGCACACGTTGAGTCACAGTTGACACAAATAACATCGCCAATTTTTTGTTTAAATGGGTACATCTTGTTTGTGCAATTTATACAAGTGCGGGTGTCGTTCTCAGCACATTGAATACAATTAGTGTCAAAATTAGAACATTTTTGACAAGTTGATTGTGTTGGGTAATAAGGAACATAGCTACTCACGCATTTGGTACAAATTCCATTTGTTCCATCACAGTTGTCCAAACAGGTTGAATCACATTTGATGCAAGTCCCATTACTGGCAGGTCTGTTATATCTTTACAAGTTATACACTTTCTCTCTCCGTTTGAAGCACATGTCTGACAAATAGGATCAAATGATTGACAAGACTCACATATTAAAGACTGTTTATCAAGTTTTAAAACATAACCAAGTTTGCACGAAGTACAATACCCGTATTCTTGATCACATTTGTTTCCACAAGTCTCATCACATTGTTGACACATAAATGGTGAAACAGTTTGTGGGTAATAACTAGCTTTACATTTGTTGCATTTTCTTGTTGTTTTTAAACATGTTTCGCAATTGGAATCAAAATCAGAACATAAACCACAGTCTACACCTGGAGTTGATGTTATTGTGTAATTGTCAGCACATGTCTGACATTCTCCAGTGACAGTGTTACACCCATTCGATTCACATGTTAAAGAACATTTGATACACATGTTAGTTGAAGAAGATGGATAATACCCACTTTGACACTCATAACACCTTCTAAGAAAACTTGAATCACATGTTTTGCAATTTATATCAAAAGAAGAACACAAATCACATTCGATTGTTTTGGGATTTTGGAACACGTAGTTTTGCTGGCACTCTATACATTCTGCACTTGTCGTGGAACACAAAGAACACGTGTTAGGACATGTTACACAAACACCACTTTGAAGGTAAAACCCCGTTTTACACATCAAACACTCATCAGAAGTACAAGTTAAACATCCTTCTTTGCAAGCAATACATTGATATTCATAATAATATTGAACATAATTATAAACTTGTTTCTCATAATAACCTTCTGAACACGTCCCTTTTATACAAACTGTATCTGATTTACATCTCAAACAATTTATACATTTTTTACAAGAGTATAAATCTAAGTAATATCCAATCAAACACGTTTCACAATAAATTTGTCCCGACTCGTAATAACACGTAGAACACCCCTCTGGACAAACAAAACAAGAATTATCATAAATGTAATAACCATTGATGCAAATATCACATTTTTCCTTTGAAGAACATAAACCACATTCATTCATACATTTATTACAAACATCGATATCGAAATAAAATCCCTTTTCACATTTGTAACAAAACCCATAATAGTTATTTGAGTATTTAGAATTGCAAGATGTACATTTATCTTTATACAAACAGGTGAGGCATCGACTTCGACAATTTACACAGTCGTGACCATCATAATATTTACCACGTTCGCATATGTGGCAATAATTGTCGTAATAGTTTGTGTAATCATTCTTGCATTGTTTACAAGTACCTGCAGTTCCTTTCGACCCAGCAACATCTCCACTATAGCAGTTTTGTACTCTACATTTTTTATTTGAATCCAAATAATTTTCGTTGTCAGTGCCACACCACCAATACTGTGTTGTTGTCAGTACGTTTGCACATTGAACAATTTCACCATCATAACCATCATTAATGTCATACATCGGGCTATATCCATCTTCACATTGTTTGCAACTCATTTTGCCACTCATACAACTTAAGCAATATTTGTTATAATAACCGCCACAGTTAACTCCTCCACTTTTTAAATTGGAAGTGTTGTTTTTTGATGTTTTCATAAAATCATTAAATAAAAAATATTCAGAATTTTCAACGTTTTTATTGACCAACATTTCGTTTTTTGTTTTGATAAGTAGCTTGGTGTTATTTAATAAAATCCATATTGAAACCAAATCATTTGGAATATCAATTTCTAATGCTAAGATTGAAGTACACGTTATTCTGACAATTTGTGAATTCCCACCAAAAAGACTTAGCGATTCATTTGTGTAAGAAACAAAAGACGAGTCGCAATGTTCTTTTTTCTCGTTAAAACATTGTAACATGTCACCCTCCCAACACCAGTCAATGGATAAAGCAAACATAAACATTGTAAAAAAGCATAACATGATGTTTAAGTCATTTTAAAGTTCTTTTTGTATAAAAAACAACGAATAAAATTAATCCTGCCAATAACAATTGTTGAACAACAAAAAAAACTAATTATATTTTTTTGTTTGTGTTAATATGTACTATAATTTATAATTAAATATTATTATTTTTATAATTAAGTTATTCAGAACAATAATCGAACTATTCCGAGAGTATTTGAAATGTTATTTGGTGTTTTTTAATTGACATTTTATTTATAATGAGTGTTAAAACTAATTGAAATTAAATTTTTACTTAACACTTTCATAACCTAAAGCTTTTTTTTAAGAAGAAAAATAAGTAAAGAAAAAATTGTTCAAATCATTTTTTTCTTTTATTTTATTCCAAAAACCCTTTCTAACCCAAACCGGCCAATAGTCAGTTTTATTTTACTTAAAATAATTAACAAATTACAACTCAATTACCTAAGATTGATCAAAAATAATCTTTTTGGATGAAATTTCATATCGCTTTATTGTGTTTCAACATTACAATTAAAAGGCTAATTAGTCAATCCACTAAATAACAAACAATGTCAAATAGTCACATTAACAAATATAACGACAATATAAACACCAATATCGTTATAATCAAATGACAATATACTTTTTATATAAAAACAACCAAATATATTAAACCATCATTGGACCCCATCTTTCTTTTTGATGCTTTGCTCTTGTTTAACACAAAAAACTCAACGTAGCATCAAAAACAGATGAAGTTGTTACTTCACATAACACTTAACACTTCATGTTAAGTGTGATCAAAAAATAAACAATTCAAATTTGAGTTGATTATAAAATAAATAAAAAATTTCAAAAATTTGTTTTGTGTATAAAGGCAAAAAAAGGGTTTAGGTAAAAAAATAAAAACTTATTATTATAACGTTTCGGTTTTGAACGTGTTAATTCACTTTTACTTATTAAACTTTTGTTGTTCTGTTTTATTTCTCGAAACCATTGAAGAGATTTGTTAACACTACTTTTTAAACTCGTTGGTACCAAAATCAGTCGATGTGTTCCACCAAAATCAGTATCAATTACATTGCAGTTTATGTTGATATTATTTACTGAAAATATCAACTTTTAAAACCAGATAAACTTAAGTCACAAATCAGTTTCCCACATATAGTGAATAAAATTTGATTGTGCTGTTGAGTATTCATAACAGGTACTTTGTTGAATTTTTTTTATTTGTAAAATAATTAAAATAGTACAGTAAAAATTCTATCGGTATGTGACTCTATCTGTGTGTGGTTTTGGCCAATCAAAAGTGGCCTACACACTGATAGAATTTTTACTGTATATAAAATATGAAATTCAATTTTTCCATAGTCCAATACAATATTGTACTTACAATTTATAAACATATTAAAACGAATATAAATATAATAGTTATACTTATTCAGTTAAACCAATCTCCATTGAGTTGATTTAACATCAAACTTATGCATTGCGACAGGTGAGCATTGTGTGTTATTATAATATATGACTTTGTCTTTGACTGCCATTGTATAACGTCCAATATAACACAACTTTTGCTCGCATGTGATACTCTTCATGCCAACCTCATCGAAACTACCGTTATAATACAACACATTTAAAAGTGCTTGGTCGTACCCCCAGTGTTTATTCGTCTTATCCATTTTTGATGTATAAATTTGAAGCACTTTTCTCATCTTTTCTACACCGCCATACCCAAACCCTCCGTTCAATGACGGAAGTTTCCTCTTCACAAAATCATCTCTAACTTCCTTTGAAAAATACGATCTTAACCATTCGGCATGCGATCGATATGAAAATGGCCCGTAACACTGTTCCGGTATTTTGAAGCCAAAACACTCGACCAACCACCCAATGTCGTCCTCTGAAAATGTCGCGAAAAAATCGTTGAAAAATGCGACATCTTTTGGGTCGATAAATATAATTCTTGAAATTTTGTTGTAATTTGCTTCAATAAAATTGTAGTAACAATTGTATCGCGCAATCACGGCGTTTTCTCTGGGCGGTTTTGCGACTTTTTGTATTTCAATGTTTAACTTGGCAAGACGTGGTAAATCATCAGTACACTTTGGATTTGGTAACGAAAATAATAGTAGAACAATGTGCGCATTTGGCATCGAAGAGCGGGCCAAGTTAAGACTATCCCACATCGTACGTGAAACACATTTGTTACGAAAATCAAAGGATCCAATAACATAATCTTTTTCACTATTTGGAGGGTGTGAAAACACTTTCCCACAGTCGCCATTGTAATTGAATTTCGAGACGTCAATGAACGAATTGTTAAATTTGGGAAATGTGATTTTCATTGTTTCTGGTTTTGGAAATATTTTGTTGGTGTTGTTTTGTTTAAAAATACCAAGTGTAATAAAGAATACAAATAACAAACAAAACACAATTATTGATAAGATTATCACATGAGGAAATCGCATTTTTTATTTTTTAGTTTTTTAGTTTTTTAATTTGTTGATGTTATGTTTTAACCCTAATCAATTGTAATTGTTTTGCTATTCATTTTTTGAAACAACATTAAAATGCAAATTAATGTGTATTATAATTATCAATTAATTATTCAAAAAACATATTTTACAAATGGAAAAATCGTAAAACTGATTATATTTTTAACTAAATAAAAAAATTAAATAAATTTAAAGTTCATTCAATTAAATTTCAACAAATCTTCAAACATTTATCATTTACACGACACACTTTCGTAACATATTGCCTTTTTAACAACAAATAACCGATTGTTAATATATCAATAATTAAAAATTTATAAGGAACATTTTTTAACTGCAAACTGTTTGGACTATAATTTATTAAATCAACTTTTAATAAATAACATAAATTATCAATCGTTTATTTTCAACCAAAATTTTCATTACAAAGAGACACACTTTAACGGAGAAGCGTTTGAAAATAAAATTGTAAAGTTTTTATTTTCAAATAATCACAAAAATAGTCATGAACAATAAAAATATTGTTAGATAAATATTAACATTACGAAGTGAAAACTGGATAATTTATATCATTGTTTTTATACTTCAATAAGTCACTTTTTTCAATTTTGCATTTGAACTAAAAATAATCTTTAATAAAAAAGACGTGTCACAAACTAATTTAAATTATGATAAACCGATAAATTTATCATAATTATTGATAAAATAATAATATATTCCGAAGAGCTTGAATAGAAACATTTATGTATGTAACAGCAAGTACTGACCATTTTGAATACATGGAAAATAGGAAACACTGGTCTGTAAAGACCAGTAGTTTGTGCGAAAACCAATCGATTTTGTGTTTTTGAATTTGTTTTTAATTGTTTTAATAATAAATGGGAACAAGATAAATCTTATCCAGTTTTCACCTTTCCACAAAAAAAGTTGATTCAGTTGACTTGCAAAGGTTAATTAAATAAATGAATTGTTACAATTTGATTGATATTGATATTGAGTATTTGATATTTTATTTTGCAAGAAGTGTTATAAAATACACAACTTCACTTTATTTTATGTTATTCTGAATTGATAAAATTGTTTTTCATTTTTTTTCTCTAACATGATTGTTTATTTGACCCCGTTTCTTTTATTAGGTTTTTTAAAAATACAGTCAAAAGGTCTATTTGTCGAAATCTAGAACAAAACATCAAAACAGGGTTGGCCAAATGATTATGTTATTGAAAAAAACTTAAAAAACAATAAAATGGTAAATAACATAATCATTTTTGAAAAACAAAAAGAAAATAACAAAACACAATTATTTATACCAAAAGATAAAATGAAAAAATATAAAACGATAATTTATATCAAACACAATGCTCTTTTTAAATTACTTCAAAATACAACAATATTTATATATCTTTGTGTTAATATAATTGTACGTTAAAAAGATTTAATTATATAATTCGTGTGTAAACAAAACAAATTCAAAGCAGCTACTCTGATATTTGTGTGTTTTCAATTCAATTAGTAATTATTATTTTAACTGATTATTATCATATTTTGAATAATCGTTTTCATTTATAAGATAATTTAAAGATAAGTTTTACTGTATTTTGAAAATAATATGGTTTACATTATTCGAAAAAAATACATTGTTTGTTTTGTATTATTGCAAATGTTGATAAAATACAGAATAATACAATTTGATTGATTCATTGACACTTTATTTTAGAAGGGAAGTAAATGAACAAATAAAAACTTATGTAAATAATTCATATTCAAGTACATTTTGAAAAAAAATATCTATCAATTGTAAAAATATTAAATTTTATGTTAAAATCACATAAATTATATATAATAATTTTTGTTATTTGGAAGTATCTTCTGTTTTTACAAGTTATTATAATTGGTGAATATTGTTATTTAATTTAAATAATTTTGTAACGTAATGTTTCACATGCTTTTAACTTTTCAATCATTGGTCTTAAAAACTAAATTTTTACACAATATAATCATATTTTGATCACACAAAATATTGTTCAATCTTTTACTATAGTTTTACCAATTTTTAAAAACATTTTAACTCTAAAAAAAACCTTTTAATTTTTTTTTGTTGACAATATGCTAAAACTAAAAATGAACTGACACGTATTAGAAATTGCCACAAAGTTGTTTAAAAACTGGATCTTGACCGACCCTGATCAAAATGTTATACAACCTAATAACAAGTCAGTAACGCAATAAATAAGCAAGTTCAACAAAAAAAGATAACAAAAAATATATTTTTTACTGGTTATTAATTTAATAATAAAAATTTAATAAAAAATATTTAGCTTTTTTTTTCAAAAACATTTGAAACAGAACCGGTTAAAATCCAGTTTTTAGACAACTTCGTGGCAATCTCAAATACATGTCAATATATATATATTTGTTTTAACATGTTGTTAACAAAAAAATTAAAAGGTTTTTTTAGAGTTAAAATGTTTTAAAAATTGGTAAAACTATAGTTAACGATTTAGACAATTTTTTGTATTGTTTAAATCATCATTACAATGTGTTATGATACAGTTTTAACAGGAAAATATTATAAGAAGGATTTCTATTCGTTTATTATAAACCAAATAATAAAATTTGCCCATTAAAAAACTCGAAAAAAAATGATCATAAATAAATTAGTTATTTAAATTCGAGATCGTATTTGTAAGAAAATAATAAATAGACTTACATTCTTCTTTAATATATAATTACAGATACTCGAGAAATATCACATACATTTACATTTTTTGAGTAATGAAATGATACAAGCAGACTAATAAAATTTGCAACAACTTCACAATATATTAGATTTTCTTTTAAATTAAACCACTATATAACATCCAACGACAAATAATCTCGATATAAAATGGTGCGAATTGAAAGTATCATATTTTCACAATCGTAAATAAACAGAAAAAGAACCTCATTTAAAAATGTGTAGTTTATGAAACTATTCTAAAAATAATAAAAAATTAAAAAACCCCAAAATTAAAAACTAAAAAAGAATAATAATGTATTAACGAGTTCGCCGAAAAATACGAACACATAAATTGTACGCGTGAATTATAAACGCGTAGTTAGTAAAGCTTGTTTTGTTCTGTGTAATTTAGGAAATTCAAAAACAGAGAAATAGTCTCTATGTTGAAAAACTTGCTGCTCTCGACACTCATTGATAAAAAATTCGAAAGGCAAACGGATCCAAATGTTGTCAACACGCCTTTAAAATATTTGTTTTTTCAAAGTGAGCAACTTAACGTGGGAAAGCCCCTAAATATCTTCCAAAAATTGATATTTGGCACATTTTAGTCAAATTAGTTCTCAATTGTTATTTGTTTTCTTTCAGTTGTTGGCGGACAAAAAAACCGCCTTAAAGTTTTAACAGGTTTCCCCTTTTATTTTTTTTAAACCAAACTAAAATTTGCCTTTTATTACTTCTCCATTTTAAAATAATTACAAGGTAAAAATCTAACCTGTTAATAAAAAAACATTAAAAAAATTGTATTTTTATAGTTTATTTACATACTTAAAAACATTGACAAGATGAATAAAATAAAACAAGCGTATTTGATGTAAGTTTTTGATATATTAACACAATAGATTCTCTCAATCTTTTGAACAAATCAACAAAAAAGTGTTTTGAGTGTATGTAGAGTCTATACATCAACTTTTTAATCAATTTAAAAATTGAAACTCTTTTTAAAGAGTTGGATAAGATTTTATATTCTTCGATTTTCGAATTTATCATAAAAGCGTTTCCAAAGATTGTAACCCTTCAATGGTATGATTACATGTTGGCTAACGACAACAAACTGATCCGAAAGGTCAAGAAAATACATCTTGTGAAAACAACACACAACAAAAGGAATGATTATAAACACATTCATATGCCACATTTCCACCCATAAATAGTAGCAAGTACTACTTTTCCAAAAATAAAATAACTATGTTGGCATTAAAAACTACAATTTATTGCCACAGATGATTACACCAACCTCAAAAATATTCATATGAATAGGTGGGTCTAAATTTTTTTCCATTGAAACACAACATACTATTTTGCCGAACTACCAAAACAAAATTTTTTAAATAACAATTTCACTGAATAATCTCCAAAATTCAAAACGTTAATATCTGATCGAGTTTTTGATAAAATAGATGTCATTGATCATATAAAAAAGTTCAAAGAATTACAGTTTGTGTTTTTTAGTAATTTTTAAGTCAATATCAAATTAAGTAATATGTTTAACGTTGAATATTGCGATAAAGATACTTAATTTTAGCGACAGTTGTCAAAGTTAATCTTGTTTAAAAAAATAAACAGATATACTATCAACTTTAATTGTTAGTATGTATATTTACGATAATAACACTCTATGAATTTATGTGAATCAAGTTGACGAAATGTCAATTTGAGTGGCAACAAAACGCTTATTACAAACGTTCTTCGTCTTAGAAAATTGCCACAAGTTATAAAACACTCGGAGATGGTGCAAAATAACAATAATTCGAATATCTTAGTGATTTTTGTTATTATTTGAATATCAATTTTACTAAAATTACAAGGATAAAAAGCCACAAAGGAGCTCAAACGGGGTTTCCTCTTTTTTTATTATTTACACTCGGCAAAAAAAATAAATCATCAACTTTTTTATTTTTTCATATAAAACAGAAAAAAAAGGAAACTCAGACGTGTTAAAACAAATTGAAAGTCTAATCTAATTAAATAAATAGTACATTTGAATAGACAAAAATTAAGTTGATAATATTAAACCGGTTGGACCCAACTTTATCAAACGCAAAAAAATATATTGTTTTATTTGATAAAAATGCATTTGCCGGGACTCGAACCCAGATCTCCACCTTGGAAGGGTGGAATTCTGCCCTTAGACCACAAATGCTTCTTGAAAATCTCTAATTATATTGCTGAGTATCTTCATTTGGCACTGAAGTGA